TTATGGTCTCGTAGGAGTGTATTTTGAGCTTAATTGTGATCCTTTGTGTACCATTCTTGACCATTTAAGCTATAATGTGTATTGTGCTATAAAATAGCACCACACTTTGTGTTTTTGTGAGATTAGGAAGGTTTTAGCTTAAAAGAGGCATGGTGACACACTCGGGAGCATTGCAAGGCAAAGGAGTGGACCGGAGCCAAGGCTAGAAGGCCCAACGCACGTTGGACGTGCGTGGAAGAGAAATAGAAAGTCCCACGCACTGGCCAACGTGTGTTGGATAACAGCGTGGAAATGATAAGTGATCGGCTAACACATGTTGGCCGGTGCGTTGGACGCGGGTTGAAGTTTCTTCCTAGGCAGATTTTTGAAGGCCAAATTTGGGGGAAGCTATTTAATAGGCTAGAATAGATTAGATTAAGGGAGAACACTTAGCGATCAGAAGTTAGACATTAGACAACTTTCATTTTAGCAATTTTACATTCTCTCTCTAGATTTTCTCTCTAGCCTCTCTCATTTTGAAGAATCTTTGAAGAAGGAGATTGACACTCTTCCAATCAAGGATTATTGTAGAGCTTCAACATTTGTAATTCCAAATGGTATTCTATTACACTTCTAATTTCAATTGCTTTGTTAGATCTATGTTTGCAATGTTGAATGTTATGGCTATGAGTGGCTAGGTTTTCTAGGATTGAATTGTATGTCTTGATCATGATGCTATGTGAGCTTTAATTCTCAAATTAGGTTTATGAATAATGTTGCTATGCTTGTGAATCTTGTTTTCTTGGATTGATTTGTAAGCATCCTATGGAGCTAGGCTACCTCCTAGGGTTGTGCTAAGCAAGTGATCTAGGCAAGAGATTGCTAGATCAATTGAAGCTTCTATCAATGGCATTTCCTAGCTTAAGGATCCGAGAGGATTAAGCTAGGAAGGTAGTGTTGGTAAAGTGTCTGAGGAAAGGTCCTATAGACTTTAAGAGCCCAAAGGGAAATTCTAGTTTCTAGAATACAAGTCCTAGTAATTGAAGAATGAAATGACACAAGCAATCTCCCTAGGTTCTAGCATTTGCATCATGAGAAAGACTAGCAATTCAATACTATTTCATTTCATTTGTTTAGTTCATTTTTCTTAGTTTTTGTTTTACCGCTTACTATAATCTTAATTCAAAATGCGTGACACTTGCTCAATCACACACACACCTCTTTCTTGATGTTGCTACCATTTAGCATCTCCAATTTGTCGTCCTTTGAAAGCGATAAAATTCGGGATTCATCCCACATCTTTGACACTTGCTAGGTTAGAAAGCTTCTATCACACCTGCACTAAAAGGAACAAATAAAAGAAGAGAAACCTAAAGCGATGTCAAATCGCGCTGTTGCCGTGGATGACAAACGGTTATTTCTAAGTGATTGTCAACTTGAGAAATGTTTGTGATTGTTGTTTGAGTATTTTATTTTGTTTTGATTTTATCTTTTACTTGTGATAACCCTCCACTCAATTACATACTTCTAGTTGAGAGGAGAAGAAAAGAGTTGTTGTGATTCTTCTAGGTTGAATGCATACAAGATCAAAAGGGAATTAAGGGCTAGTGCCATTTGTACCTGAAATCAACAAAGCAACTAGAAGAAGAGCTCTATAAGATCCTACTCCATTTGATCACATGGCATCTTCAAGCGCTAACAACCAAAGGATATCTATAGGGAGAGGAAGCCCATTACATAGACCCCAACCTACTCACCAAGGAGGAGTAAATGCTTATGGAGGAGCACCATTACCTCAAGAACCACCCCGTGAGGAAAACAATGCAAATGTAGGACAAGTTCCACCAGATCATGTAGGATAAGATGAGTACTACGATGCCCCACATGATGGAAGGGGGAAATCCATGCATAGCCGAATATATGATTCTTGAGTTCTCCATGCATAATTCAATGTTCGTACCACCCTTGGAGAATGTGAATTTCCATATACATCCGGCGGTACTTAGTCTCGTTCAAAACAAATCTTTTTGAGGGTCAATATCGGAGGATCCACATACTCATATTACCCGTTTCATACGTGCTTGTGGAATGTTTAGACAAGAAGGTATACCGGATGAGATAGTAAGATTGAAGCTATTTATGTTATCGGTAATTGGAGAAGCTTTGAGATGGCTAGATGCTCAAGATGACAACCACTTACGGTCATGGGCTCAATTGCATAAGGAATTCATGAACGAATTCTTCCCGCTAACCAAGACGATGAAGATAAGGAAGCAAGTGCAAGAATTCAAGCAGGGTTCTTTAGAGAGTCTTGGCGAGGCATGGAGGAGATTCAAATCATTGAGGAGGCAATGCCCATCGGACCTACTTCATCCGTGGGACGTGATTAGCTCGTTCTATGGCGGTTTGACGGATGAGGGGAAGATGTTGTTCGATTCTTCATCTAGTGGTGCATTTGTATCATCGTCTCCGGCGAATGCCGATGCACTTATTGAGAGGATTTTGTCCAACACTTCATTTTGGTATAACAAAAGGGGATGCTAAACCGGGAATGTATGAAGTCAAAGGGAGCATAGCTCATGGATACGTGTTATATTACTTAAAGAATCGTGTTATACTTTTTTTTTTTTTGACAATTGTCATATTACTTAAGAATCGACAAAAAAATAAATGCTTCAACCATAGGGAATGCTTACAGTCACCCTCGGAGAAAGCACTCATGCATGCTTAAGAATCTGCAAAAAGAAAAAAAAAAAAAAGTAAATGTTTCAGCCATAGGAAATGCTTACAGTCACCCTCAGAGAAAGCACCCATGCATTCTTAAGAATCTGCAAAAAAAAAGTAAATGCTTTAGCCATAGGAAATGGTTACAGTCACCCTCGGAGAAAGCACCCATGCATGCTTCAACCCATGTTATATTCTCTATATATACCTATGTCTGTTTTCACAACCATTATTATTGATTTCTTCGGTTTCCTCCTCACAAATTTTTTCAACTATTTCTCATTACTTTAGTTTTCTCTTCATTCAAAATATTTAACAACCATTTATATTTCTAAATTTTTGTTATTACGTAAAAGTTTAACTCAACTCTTTGAATATAAAAAATGGATCTATTCGATGATTTTGAAATAGTAAATTTAATAACTCCTTAGTATTGTGCCAGTCTACAGTATGTCGTAATAAGCTTTGCGGGAAAAAAATTGCATGTGCACGTGTAGAAAACAAACCCTCCAATACTTATTTATCTTATCCAACTCATGGATGGGATCAATATCTACAAATGTTGGGTTTACCCGTTCTCGATCCAATGTCTTTTTCAAATAAGGAAGATGCACAATGATATGCTATGCTCATATTTGAACGTCTACAACAAATTAATTATCCTTCACGTAAGTAATTTCGTATTTATCAATTCTTTTGTTAATTTTATCATGTATAACTATGTAATTGTTCTCTTATAATTATTTTTGTTTTTTATTTTGTTACTAGCTTGCAACAATCAAATACATATCCCTGATAATAGTGAATGCGTTATTACGTGGTTCACTATTCAAGTTACATTTGAGCTACCTATGGTAATCAATTTTGATGTTATATATTTAAATGTTATAATACATTCACAGTTCTTACATTTACTATAATTTTGTTAATAGAGAATTCCCAATTGTATGCATCGCCATCTAATGCAACATCTGACAAAAAAAAAAAAAAAGCAATTATGTGGCATCATACTCAATGATAGAAGTTTTCGTCCAAGATATGCACTTTACCATGGGAATTAGTGATTTCAGGGTGGAAAATAATTTATTTCCTGGAGACATTGTGCTATTTCGACATACAGGTTTCTTCACTTTCAAAACTTACTTATATAGCAATGACTCATACAGTCCGAAGAGGGAATTTAATCAATATGGCAAATGGATAACTAGTCGCTGTTTTGGTCGTGGTAACATAACACTTATATTGCATAAATTACATGTTATATATTTTTTTTACTACATACAGTAATACTAATTTGTTTATAAATTAGCGTTTATCAATGTCAACGCAAGGTCTTCAATACGACCAACATATGGGTTTGATCAACTAGAGCGATGTAGATCTTTGTATACAAATTTCGGTACATTTTTTGCAGTAAGAAAATAATATACATTCAACTTGTCCTTCAATCGATGTCATTAGTTACTAACATCCTCTATTCTAGCATGATCGATTGAGTGAATTTTTCCGCGACTCCATCGAATTGGATGTGCCGCTCAAATTCATAGTTGGAGATAGAAAGGTAGAGCTCTACTTCGATGTAACATTAACATTGTATGACGAACAGTGGGAGCAAATATATGATTATTTTCACTTAGATGGATATGATCGTGTTGTATGCTTCAATGTCGAGCAAAATGTCGTACTCATGCTACCTATTGCTACCTCGTGTAACGTTGAGAAGATTTATCGGTGGTTAGTCACATATCCTTTTTTGACAATGATTATGACGAAATCCACCGTTTAACTGAGTGAATGATATGAGTTTGATGTATACAGTATCAAAAGTTTTTTCTTCAACTGTAATAAAAATAGTAGCAATCATGAAATTAATTATTAAAAATACTAAATCATCATTATTAAAGTATCACGATATTATAATAAATATATCATTAGCAATCAATCAATATAATTACATAATATAATTCATGAACCAACCATTAGTAATCATTGTTACATTATACAAAGTAATCATATGTAAATCAAATAATGCATTACAACGGAAAACAATATTACTACTGATTTCAACAAAAAGAAATACTACTGATTATATAAATCAACAAAATATTCAAACACGGAAAACAAGAAGACATACTACTGATTTAAAAAAATAAATAAAGAAGAAATACTACTAAACTATAAAATGGCTGTGAAAATGATGATGCTTTACGCTTTGGATAAAATGGAATTCTGGCGTACGTGATTCCCTCTTTTGCCATGATTCAAATTCCAGTCCGATTAGGAATCCAATTTGAAAAATGGTCTCCAGCGAGGTTATGACTCTCCATGTGAAGATGGCTTCAACCTTCAGTGACAATCAATGTGGCAGTGGCAATCTTAATTATCGTGGACACTGGCAGCGTGGCAGTGGTCAAAACCAAGGTCGTGGCAGTCCTCACCGAGGCCATCAGTGTGGTAGACGTGACTTTAATGTTTAGTATCAAATTCGTGATGGTTTCGGTCATAGGGAGCCAATTGTTTTCGGTGTATTCAGGGGCTCCGGGCCCTCAGGCTATTTGGTGTTTCAGAATGATTTGGGTGTTGACTCTTTGTCAAATTCGCACACTTGGTTTCCAAACACTGGAGTCACAAATCATGTGACTCCAGACATAGCTACCCTTTCTACCTCAGAGGAGTACACTAATAATGAGACTTTACGTATCGGTGATGGTATGTGCATGTCTATTAGTCGTGTTGGTCATGATATTTTTGATACCCTTTCTAGGTCCTTTAAGATGTCTAATATTCTGCATGTCCCTGGCTTGTCTGCTTCTTTACTTTCTGTTCAGTGTTTTGCTTCTGATAATCAAGTATTCTTTAAGTTTCACCCTTCTTTCTTTGTTGTGAAGGATATTGCCACCAAGGCGGTGCTATTTCAGGGCAATAGCTCTGGTGGGCTCTACTCCTTGCCAGTGTCTCATCATACTCCGTCTCTGTTCCTGTCAGCACAAGCCTCTGCTTCAGTCAGGCACAATCATCTTGGTCATCCACATCAGCGTGTTCTTAGCCGTGTCATGCAGTCTTGTTCGGTTAGTGGGTCTAGTAAGTCTCTTAGTGATACTTCGTTGTGTTCTGGATGCTACCTGGAAAGATAGTTCTAGCATTCTTGATTTAGTTTACACTGATATTTGAGGTCCTGCTGTAACAACCCGTGTTACGCCTTTAAATCTAGAATTAATTATTTAATTAATTCCGTCAAAGAATAATTAAAAAGGGAATTAAGAACGTATAGGCCCTTAATTAATTTGTGTGGTCCACGGTGGACCGTGGACCCTTGCCTATATTAAAGCCTTAAAGCTCGTCAGGACAAAGAAGTTGGGCCCATTATTAATCAGATTCTAATTAGAAATCCTAAATCTATATAAAAGGAATTAGAAAACTTCAGAACCCTCTCTCCCTCCTCATTACTCGAAAATCCCCTCCCAAGAATTCAGACAAAGAATCCCTACCACCAAGTCTAGGGATAGATTGATAGGAAGAAGGACTTGAGGAAAAATTCTAGAAGTCGTAAGAAGTTTAATTAAAGCTACCAGGTAACACATGTCTTACAAAACCTATTTTCCTTGCTATCTTTTATTGACTGGCTCCGTTGAATTATTGAATGCGTGGTTTTGTATTTATGCCTTGTTAGAGCGTGTCTTTACGATTTATGATTTGGATTCTTGGTGTTCTTGATGACCTTGATAATCTTGTGTGGTGGTTTGCATTTTCTTGCATTTAATTATGTTTAGAGCTTGTCCTTAGGGTTTATATGGTGAATCGGGTTGTTCTTGATGTTCTTGGAGTTCTTTGGTGGGTTTATGCATGTCCGGGTGTTATTCAAGGTTTATGGCTTGTCTTTAAGGCTTTGTATATTGGTTTATTGATGTTCTTGAGGTTCTTGATGCTCTTGAACCGTTATGTGTTTATCCTAGAGTCTTGGCTTGTTTAGAGCTTGCGTTTAGGGTCCAATGGTGTTGCTTCTTGGCGTATTCTATATGTTCAAGTCCCTATATTGTTGATGTGTGTTTTTGATGGGTTTGGACTTGAATTTGGGCATAATTGGTGAAGTCCCGTAGTGGGAAAATTTCCCTTGGAGTGTTGTTCCGGCGGGTAGTCAGTGGGGGGTCGAACCCCCACCTGACCACCCACTCGGTCACGGTGTGAGTTGTTCCCGGCGGGTGGTCGTCCACCCGCCGTACCACCTGCTGGAACGTAGTTTGCGGTGGTCCGTCGGCCTCTGTTTTGGTTGATCCCCGTGCCCCGGTGTGTCTTCTTTGATGTTTGTGAGTCTAGTATAATGTCTTAACTATCGTGACGTGATTTGTGAGTTGTGTCCAAGAATGTGGTCTAAACTTGTATTGTGTGGATCAAAGTGTGGTTTATGTTATTCTCCGTAGGTTGCATGTTTAGGTTGATATCTCGTGTCGTTCTGACTCTATTCGTATGTTGTGCCCTTTCTCGGTAACCCCGTGATGTAATTGTTGTTGAGTCTTGATTGTCATGCTATTGTCCATGGTGATGAAAAGATGTGAAATTGGTGGAAAAGATATGTTGGTGGTATGACGCACTACGAGTGCATTGATCATTGTGCTATAGGCACAGGTCGCTTGATTATTGTGCTATAGGCACAGATCAGGTTATGTTTTGGAACTGCGAGTGCTCGATCATTGTTGTAACACCCCCAATTTTTACCGAAATCTAAAAGCTTAATTAAAGGGGAAAGCAAGCTAAACATTCATTCAAAATCATCGGAAGCAAAGTCTAGATACAGAGGTGCTATGCCACACCTATCTCAACATAGGTGCACAGGCTTAGTCTAAACCAAAATCTCAATAGCAAAGTCATAGGAAATAAGGCACACAAGCCATAAGTCTAAACTAGGGAAAACATGAAGAGCTACACTATCTAAGGTCCACTAGTGCGCTCTCCATAAGCTACTCAAAACTTGTAAAAACATAGGGATAACACCCGTCAGCGAAAGATGCTGGTAACCCACCAATTCGCATTAAGTAGCATAATATATAGATATAATAAAACCATTTGAGACAGAGGGATACAATATATATCATTTTAAAACCAAGAGAGGGAACATCAAGAGACACAACATAACACTCTCAACAAAGACCAACCATCAGCAACAATCAACAGGTCAATAAGGACAACAAGCAACATACTCAGACGCAACCTACCATAATCAAGGTAGAGTTCCCGATAGACATGCTCATAAGCAATGAATACAATAAATCACACAATGACAAATATCAAGTTCCAACCTTATGCCCTGTTCCAACCTTATGACTACCCCGGCCTTATTTCGGTTCCAACCATTACCTCCTAGTGTCACCCTGTACTTCTGAGTCCAACCTTATTCCGCCTAGGACCGTCGTCCCCGACCAATCTTTACCACCAATCATTATACCGTCGAAGTCTCAGTACACGAGGGTACCATTAAATAACACAATATTACCACCGATCTCGTGAGCAAAGCTCAATAATATTGCCACCAATCTCATTCATAGTTACACATAGTCATCATCAAGAGGACTGAGGCTCATCAATAGCCCAATCAAGTATCAACAACGGGTACAACAAATGTACAAGATCACATCATAGAAATCAATCAAGAGGTTTCACTGATAGACATGAAACAATACTCAACAACAACAATGGACTTCAATCCAATATCAACATGATTGGCAACACAAGTTGCCAATCCTTAAGGGAATGGACAAACAACACATACTAGCATCAACGACATCATATCTAGCATTCTCATCAAACGGGTAAACCCAAACGGTTCCAACGAACCTCAAAGACTCACATAAATCTGACGAATCACAAAGTTGAACTATTAGCACGATTCAAGATACAAAATCCTAACATAGATACTTAGGACATCATAGACATACGAAACATCAAGGAGACACCCAAAAGCTCAACAATCCAACAAAGGCAGGCCAAAACATCACATACCAAAGGGTGGAACCACGGGGAAACAACCCCCGCCACAATCCCACCTGTGTACCCCGCGGGTGGAACCGCGAGTGGGTCCCTACCCGCGGCTCTGCCCGCCGGGTACACTCCTCCACCCGCGGGTGGGGCGGCGGGTGGACAACCACCCGCTGTCCGCCTGCGGGGAACGTACTGAACACACAATAATTCCCTTCGGGGAATTTCATCAACAAGGCCAAGTTCAAGTCCAAAGCACCCCAAATCTCACAGACAACAAGTAAATGACTTGAACCCATGAATAGATCAAAAGATAGCATTTAAGAAGCCTAGATACAAGCTCTAAACATACATTATCACAATATCATGCATCAAATCTCACATTAACACCATGAATCATTAATAGAAGTCAAGAATCATCAATAGCAAGTAGAAAATAAGTTTTGTATACCATAGGTTACCTTTGTAGACCAAGAAATTCTTCCTTTCTACACTCCTAAGCTTCTCCTTGAAGCTCCTCTTCAACCAAGTCTTCTTACACAATCAAAATCACAAAGAAGACACTAATCTTAGATAAAGACTTGGTAAAGCTAATTAAAAATGCCAACTTATCCTAGATCTTACCCTTCCTTAAGCTTGGGGGATGGAAAGGTGGAATCTTGGAATGATTCCTAGCAAGGATGGAGGGGATTCTTCTTAGCTTGGAGAAGAAGCCAAGTTTTCTTAGAAAGAGGGTAGAGAAAGGTTTTTTTTTTTCCGAAGTGGGGAAATGAGATTTAGGCTTGATAGGGTAAGGCTTCAAGACCAAGCAAATGGAAAAAGACTATAATGCCCTTACTTTCCCTAGAAAAACTTAGAAAGACCCCAAAGAGTTAGGTACAACCATCACAGCCAAAGGTCCCCCTTTTTGACTTCAAATCAATTGACCAAAGAGTTAGTCAATTTAAGTCCTCCGACTATCAATTTGGGAAATTGATAAGAAAGTCCACAAGGATGACTTAGGATTAATTATCCAATTAATCCTATTTTAAAGGATAGGATTTTCGGGGTGTCACAATTGTGCTATAGGCACAGATCACTTGATCATTGTGCTATAGGCACAAATTATGTTATGTAATGGCACTGCGAGTGCTGAGAGATCGATGGAATGTTGGAGGCCATGTTGGAGGGGAGCATGCGGTGCTCCGGAGGGATAAGGATGTGGTGTGTAGGGTGGCCTGGAGGTAAATGTTGGAACTGTTATAAGGATGGAGAGGAGTAAAGTTTGGAACTTGGTATAAGGTTGGATCATGGACATGTCTTGTTGTGTGCTCTTGTTTGTTATTGTTGAGTCTTATTGTCGTCCTGTCTTGCAGTCTTAACTTGCATGCTAGTGTCTTTATGTGTTTTGTCGTGTCAAGTCTGTGATGTGCCTTGAGTCTCATTCCTGGTTTTAAAGCTAGAGTTGGTTAGGACTATATCTATGTATTCCCAAGTCTCAAAATGATTTCTTATATCTATATGTATTGTACTCAACGCGTGGGAGTGAGTTGCTTAGCATTATTCGCTAACGGTTGTGATACCGCATGTTTTGCAGGTACTGATTAGTTGACCGAGAGCGCGCTAGAAGGAGCTGCGGTTCCTGGTTTAGTTAGTATTAGCATAGTTAGACGGCATGTGAGTTGTGCTTGTATTCGGATAATGATTATGGATTATGCTTTGTTTGGTTAGTTTTAGCCTGTGCATCTAGGTTCCCTAGCTTAGGTGTGGCATATCACCCCAACACTGATGTTTAGCTTTCTCTCTGTTTTGGTTATTAATGATAGCTTTGCCTTTATTTCGTAAGCCTTAATGACTTTAAATTATGTCGAAAATTGGGGGTGTTACACCTGCCCCAATTCTTTCATCTAGTGGATATTGTTACTTTGTTATATTTGTGGATGACTACTCTCGTTTACATGGTTTTTTCCAATGCGCTTAAAATTTGATCTATATGATATTTTTGAGCATTTTCGTGTCATGGTTGAGCGTTCTTTTTCTTGTAAAATAAAAGTTATACAGTCTGATTTGAGTGCTGAGTATAAAAAGTTACATTCTTTGTTTATGCAATTAGGTATTAATCATAAACAATCTTGTTCCTATACTCATAAACAGAATGGTCGTGTAGAACGGCAACACAGACATATTGTTGAGACTAGGCTAACCCTTATGGCTCATGCCTCTATTCCATCTCGTTTATGGGATTTTACTTTTAAGTCTGCTATTTATCTCATTAATAAAATGTCTTCTAGTGTCTTGCGAAACTCCAGTCCTCACTATATGTTACATAAGTCTCAGACATCTTATTCCTTTCTTCATGTCTTTGGTTGCTTATGTTATCCTCACTTAAGGCCATATAACCGTCATAAAAATTTCCTACAGATCTTCTCCTTGTGTCTTCTTAGGTTATCCTGACTCTTTTCGGGGGTATAGGTACATGGGCTTGTAGACTAATAAGATATATGTTTGCAGGCATGTACGGTTTAATGAGGCAGTCTTTCCCTTTGCTACTAAGATTGTTTTGCGAGCTCCTTCGGCTCCATAGCCTCATCCTTGGGCTGAATCTGTCATGCAGTCGTGCTATGTGACATCCACTGCAACAGCCACGGATTCATCACCTGTTGTGCAACCGGTTCCATCCGTCCCCGTTGTGGCTGCCACACGTGGTCGTGCTTCGAGACCAAAGACGAGGACTCATGCCATGACTACTAGGAGTCATTCTCGTGCTCCTACAGTTTTGACTACACAGGTTTGCCCTTCTGAGCCCACTTGTTATACACAACCAGTCAAGTATCCTGAGTGGTGTGAGGCCATGGATCATGAATTTAATGCTCTACTACAGAATCAGACCTGGTGTCTAGTTCCTCCTCGTTCGAATATGAATTTCATTGGTTGTAAGTGGGTTTTTTACTCGAAGAGAAAGCTAATGGTTCAATTGAGAGGCACAAGGCTTGGTTAGTAGCAAAAAGATTTAATCAGATTCATGGTTAGGATTTCTTTGATACATTCAGCCCGATGGTAAAACTCACTACTGTCCGGATACTTTTATCCTCTGGTTGGGTCATTAGACAGCTTGGTGTTCATAATGTTTTTTTGAATGGTAATTTAACTAAAATAGTCTATATGTGTCAGTCGCCTGGATATATTGACACATAGTTCCCTAAGCATGTTTGCCTATTATAACGTTCTTTGTATGACCTAAAACGGACTCCTAGAGCTTGGTTTAATCGCCTGCATACGTTTCTGCTGTCAGTTGGATTTAAGGCATCAAAGACAGATGTGTCTTTATTTTGCTATTCACAGGATTATGCTTTTGTGTATCTGTTGGTTTATGTTGATGATATACTTGTGATGGGGAGTGATCAGAATCTAGTTGATGTGTTACTATCAAAATTGTCTATTGCATTCAAGATTAGGGATCTTGGTGGACCTGGTTTTTTACTTGGAATTGAAACAGTTAAATGTGATGATGGAATATTGCTTTCTCAGAAAAGATACATGACAGATATTTTAAAACGTGCTGATATGACATACTGTAAATCTCTAGCTGCTCCTATTCCTGTCTCGAAATCTGTTCCTTTTAGTGCAGATTTGTATGATGATCCTACTCAGTATAGGAGTTTAGCTGGGGCACTATAATACCTCACAGTCACACGGCCTGATTTGTCCTTTGCAGTCAATCAACTTTGTCAACATATGCATGTTCATACAATCTCACATTGAGAACAACTGAAACGTGTACTGAGATATGTCAAGGGAACTATTACTTATGGTTTGCGTATAAGAAAGTCAGTGCCAAGTGATCTGTCCTTTGCAGTGAATCAGCTATGTCAACACATGTATGCACAGTTTCAGATTGGGCTCAACTGAAGCGAGTACTGAGGTATGTTAAGGGAACTATTACTTATGGTCTACGTATAAGAACGTCAGTGACAAATGATCTACATGCTTTTTTTGACTCTGATTGGGCTGGCTGTCCTGAAGACCATAAGTCAACTAGTGGTTATGCTGTGTTTCTTGGGTCCAATCTTGTATCTTGGGTTTGTAAGAAACAAATAATTGTTGCTAGATCTTCTACTGGGATAGAATATAAAGCTCTAGCAGATGTATGTGCTGAGATAATTTGTATTTTATCATTGTTGCGTGAGATTAATGTTCCAAATATTCTTGTTCTTGAGTTGTGGTGTGACAATCTTGGTGCTACATATATGTGTGCAAATCGAATCTTCCATGCTCGCACCAAAAATTTGGAGATTGATTATCATTTTATTAGAGACAGAGTTGCTTCTGGAGATATTCAAGTTAACTTTATTTCAATCAAAGATCAACTTGATATTTTTACTAAAGTTCTGTCTGATCCTAGATTTTCTTTTTAGAGTCAAGCTACAGGTTACTAGTTTACCATGTGCTTGAGAGAGAGTATTAGGACTCTATATTTGAGTTAAGTTCACTCTACCCTAATCTCTCTGAGATTCCTTCATTATATATATTCATGTATTCTGTAACTTTGCAATTGAATTCAATCAATACAATACATACATTCAGTTCTCATCATGAGCACAAGCTATTGCATCTAAATTGCCATCTAAAGGTGTCCAAGTAATAGCACAAAATTCTCTCACATTTGCACAGAGCTATAGAGTAATTCCTTCATATTGTACACAAAAAATGAAACAGATTGAACTGGATGTTCATTGTTGGGTTGCTATATGTATATTCGATTTTCTTAGCCTCAGCTGCATCTTTGGCTATGCTAACCACCTACTTTGTGCAAGTATACAATTGCGTGTGACCGTTTATAATTTCTCCAAATTTCCATGCTTCTTTCCCTCTCCATGTCTTGATCCTCTCGATGCCTCATCTTCACTCACGCCTTCATCGTTTCTAAAGCTATTTCCTGTACCAAACTGGTCGTCCTGGTGTGCCTTTTCTTTTGCTGGTAATGAACCGTGTCATCTAGACCTGGCCCCCCAACTGAACTTGCCATCTCTTGACCTGTGATTTATGTCATTTTTATCACTAACTGGTGCTCTTTGATCTCCTTTAGCCGGAGAATTTGGGGGAAGCTGTGATGGGGGAGGGAATTGACTTATGCTGACTGGCGGCTGACCGGCTCTAGGTAGGCCTGCAGCACCCATGAAAGGGCTTCTTCCTACTCCCATCATCATTGAAAATCCACTGGCCGGGGGAGGGAATTGACTTATGCTCACTGGCGGCTGACCGGCTCTAGGTAGGCCTGCAGCACCCATGAAAGGGCTTCTTCCAAATCCACTGGCCAGAGGCCGCTTATGAAACATCATATCACCAGAGAATCTTGGTGTTAATGCACCGTATGAAAAACTGTCAGCCATCATCCCAGATGTGTAGCCCTGCATCCCAGGGAGTGGCCTGGCCCTGTATCCTAAAGGCATCATCGAAGGCCATGCCATGCCCCTACTGCTTCCTCTGCCCAGGGCTGCGGCACCAAAACTTTGATCAAACCCCTCGTCCTCTTCCTCACTTTCTTCCTCTTCCTCATCTTCATTATCTTCAAATGGGACAATATCTGGAATCCCATTCCCGCACTCAGGATCGACTCCATTTGCTTTCTCCTCCTCCCGTTTTAACTCTGCTTCAAGGGAGATTGACTGAAAGAGTAACATTCATTTTCAATAATTATTTCAGTTCTATAAGTCTCTAATCACGCTGTAGCAGAAGGTGCTACCAATGTCATAAACTCACCAGATAACAACAAATAATTTCCACAAAGGGTTGTCTTAAATTTATGACATTTTCTAACCAGCATATAGAATGAAATAAGCTACTTCAGCAAACACTCTTTGAATGCATGCTAATGCATGAACATCTTTAGGGCTTACTAAGTACCAAAAGAAATCATAATAATGAAATAGTGGAACCCCATATCTCAACATACAAACAACCAAATGAAAATAAAAATAAAAAATCATAGTTTTTTAGCAAACTGGCTCACCATACACTCTACTTTTGATATAAACTTAGTCAAGCTACAGATTTGGTCAATGCATTAAGCATAAATTAACTTCTCTTTTTTTCCCATATTATGAAATAAATTATGACTGCATACCATCAGAACAAAATATGCATCTACCTACTAGTTCTAGTATTTACAATGTTAATGCTATGCAACCAATGATATAGAACCCTGATATATATATATATATATATATATATATATACACACACACACACACACACACACACACATAAGGGTAGGATCAAATGAGCTCCAGTGCAAACTGCACAATCAGGCATTAAAGGTTGCACAATCGTAAAATTACTAGTTGCACAATCAGGCATTACAAGTTGCACAACCAAAATTTACGAAAGTAGTTACAGAAATACGGGTTTCCAAGTTGCACAATCAAGCATTACAAGTTGCACAAAAGCTAGTTTGCACGGGAGGAGTTGTTCTCATTGATCCTGATTCTATATATATTTCAGTAGTCAAGCACAAACATATATACATACGCACATATGTAGACTTAATGAGTGTGCTTTATAAAGCTCCAGGACAATAGGCAGCAATCAAGGAAAAATATGCCCTACTATATCATTCTCATAAAATAATGATATTAATAATAATAATAATAATAATAATAATAATAATAATAACAATAACAATAACAATAATAATAATAATAATAATAATAATAATAATAATAATTAATAGATAACCACCTTGAAGTGGAAAATGGCTATATCAAAATGGACTGTGAAAAACATTGCATACCATAAGCTCACTATCTGGTTCCAGATACAACAGGGAAGCCAATTGCTGACCAACAGAGGCCTCCAGTTCTTGACAATCTCTGCTTACCTACAATAGCATGAAGAGAACTAACACCAGCAAGTGACAATCTTAATAAAGATCATAAGGTTGATATATCTTTAGGCAAACCAAATATACAAAATGCACCTAGATCTGGATCAGAAAGAAACTAGTCTCAAATATATACAGCAAATTGAATAGTGGAATTTTAGCCAATCTCACAGTATTACTTTCTTCTTTCTTGAAAACAAAAATCATGACAAAATGTTCTGTGCAACTTGCGAAAATGTCAGAGAAAGATCAGCTTATACTCAAAATTTAATAATTTATCCCCTCAGATATTTAGTCATTTGAGAGTCAAAAGTATTTTCAACTTTGCACTGTAGTAAAGAGCAGACCAAAAAACCATTTCTAGGTCACACAATGATCATAGTCGTCTGTTGCAATAAGATATATGGGGCATCTTTACTTCTGGGCCTGGGTTCAATGTTCCAATCATGAAACAGTTTGACACAAATTTGTCAAACGTAAATCTTTTTTTTTTTTTTTTTTGATAAAGAGACACTTCACCAGAAGCAAAATGTTCAAGTAACAGTATCATCTCAACTTCAAATAATTTCCAATATGCCGGCTCCTATAAATAATTAAATATTAAATACTTATGACAGTATCTGAGTTCATGCTAAAATCATAATAAGTAATACAGGAGGAAATCAACATACAGCAACAAGTTAAGGAAAAGAACTGGTTTTCCAGGCTTGACTTTACCTTCACTGGTAAGTTCTCACTGTACGGGTTTCTCAGATGACCGGTCTTTTTAAAGGACAGTTCACATAGCTGTATTAAGTAACAGAGTTAGCATATTTGAATGAATTACATAGTCTGAAAAAATAAGAAAATAAAAAGAGAGACCAAAGCCACTGAAATAAACAAGATTAATTCAACCCAGTTTATCAAACACTTGATGTTGAGGGGACAATCAAAAAATAAAAATAAAAATAAAATATCATATCTTTACTCAAACATATAAGAATAACTCTGGAAGAATGAATAAGAAGAATTCAGGGACACAATTTCATCTTATTATTAGTATAAATAAAAAATAAATAAAAAACAGTTAGGGTGTGTTTGGTTGGTGGGTTTTGCCCATAGGAATGGGTATGAAAGTGATTGTTGTTGTTTGGTTGATAGGTTTTTAGAACACTACTATGGGTTTCGAATACCCCATCAATTGAAAAACACATACCCAAATAATATAAGGGTTTCATTCCCTTATTCATTCTCAAGCACTACTATTAGTAACCATTCCCATTCCACTCTACTACCAAACATGTTAAATATTTTTACCAAAACCCATTACCATTACCAAGTATTTGATTCTCATTCCGATTTCGATTCCTATGTGCGAACCAAACACACCCTTAGATTGTGCAATAATACATTCCGGAGAATAGCATTTTTAGTCCCCGAGTTATACATGTCAAGTTGATTGGGTCCCTCATAATTTGCATTTGCAAAAATTGATCCCTTGCCCTAACAGTCTTCATTAGCCACCATTTCTGATTTGTAAACCCTAACCGTTGAGAGGGATTATGATAAAAACACATTTTCTATAAAAGGAAAATTTGCTTTTTAGTCCTTGTGCACAAATTTGACACATCTGAGGATCACATTTGCACCCCATGTCCAACTAGGGACCAATTTGACCATTCCAAATTTCCTTCTTTCATTTTGCTTACCTTACATCTATTTCAAGTCAAGAAAATTCCTTGTATATTCTAGGTATAAACTGATGCATTCCAAATAAAAAGAGCAATAAACAACCTAATATAAAGGCAGTGTCATGGAATCTAAACATTAACTCACAGTTCAGTGCTGCTACTCTGCTAGACCCCTATTTCATAGTAAAAAAAAAAAACATAAAAATTTAGCCATAGCCTCCCTTTTGGGCATCTTGTACTCAAGTTTATCATCCAGACAAGATTGGACTCAATAAATAAAAAATTTATTACTTCGCATCCAGACAGGATTTGCCCAATGAATTTATCAGCAGCAACATTGCATTGAGGCAATGTAAGAATATAGAGAGACATTCTCATGTTGTTTTCAACAATCGTTTGAGTCATAGCATATAGAACCACACTTTAAAGGTCCAAACAATCAACAGATAATGAAAAACAAGAAAGTGAAAATAAAAGGATACACATAAATCAGAAGAGAGAGCACAAGAAAGTACTTTTAGCCATTTGACTGAAAAGTTCCGTCCATAATGCGCAGTTCCATGCTCATACTTCCAATTTCCTCCATTGGCAGTACCACCAATGCTAGTAGTCATTTTTGCACAACCCTAGGAGAAGTAAATCCATTTAAGCTCTGAAAATGTCAATTTGAAAATTAATTTTGTTTTTGTTTTGAAAAAGATAACAGAATTTGGATAACAGTTGTAACATAAAATGTATAAGATTACAGTCAAAGGCCAAATCATTTCCAATTGTAAGTGCAATTACATGCGTCATGGTTTAGGCTGTATAAAAGGGAGTAAGCATGTCCTAACTACCTGAAAATGTTTAGTTTCGTTGACCGAAAAGATCAAAATAACATTTTCCACTGAATCAAATGCTTCGTTTAGTTTGGCCTCATTGCTTCTTTGAGTTGCCCATACTCCTTGTTGGGCTGACAACTCCAGGTTTTCACGGTTGCGGCTTTTGACTATAAAGTACCTAGAAGTTCAGTTCAATAACATTGGATGAGAAATATGCAACAACTGGACAAAAAATTCAAAATTATAAGCAATAAATTAGGTAAATATATTCCAAAAGGGTTTTGCTTCTTGTTTGGATGGAAAGAAAGCAATCTCACAGCATATAGGTACAGTAAAAGAAAATAAACTAACATTCTATCAGGCAAACAGCTGTCATGTTTTCTTCTACTGGATTTTGACAAAAATTTGTTAAAATATGTCAGATATTAATTTGTGTCGGATCACAAATTTCTGAGTCACAAAAAATAATAATATGGAGCAATAAAATATGTAGTATAAATTGAAGCCATGCCCTCCAATATCACTGCAGATTATATATAGCCAAGTTTAATTTCAATGCCCACAGCATTGCCTGGTAAATTAGTCAACAAAGTTTTCTATAGCCTTACAGTAGGCATATAAAGAGTAAACAAAAACTCTTCAATTTCATAAGAGCTAGATGCATAGGAAAATGAAGGACCATTTTAGATGATTTGTTGTGCCGACATGAATATTTGGCAATAGAACTCAAATTTGACTGCTTGCAACTGAAGGATCTAGTTGGACCATTCTGTAGTTGGTTGGACTACTGTAACACAATACAATCACTTCTGATAAGTAAAAGGTATAATGAAGCATTAAAGATGGACACCAAATTTGTTCTAATGCTTAAGGGTTTTCTATAAGTAGTGAGGCCACTATTGGAGAAACGGACAAATTCAAGTGGCATGGGCACATGGCCTAAAATAGAATTTCAGAGTTTCAAATTACAGAAGCCAAACAAGTATAATAAGACAGATGATGATCAAAAATAAAATAACTCAGTCATCTGCTGCCTATATACCATTGAAGTTTCAAATTTTATATCTTAAGTGTTATCTCCACCGAATGGTAATAGACTGAAACTCAAGCACTACAGAAAGCAGAAAAGCAATTTGAAAAAGATACTAAAGAAGAGAAAGGATTGGCAGTGTAAAGGGGAAAATCCCCATGAGCTCCTATTATTTGACAGTGCTCCATGTGAGAAGGAAAAACAAAGAGTGAAAACTACAAGAACCATTAACTACCATGGGGTTGATAGTTCACTACTATTTTGCAATTGTTTCAAACCCTATACTACATGCTAGTTTTTGGATCTAGGCAAAAGTGTGTTCAATTCCAAAAGAATATGCAACAATCATTCTCCAATCCGAGGATTGAATAACAAATAACAAGAACCCCTAATATAATCCACTTTTTATCCTTGTTTTGTCAGGTAAAATATTCCAACTGCCCACAAGATCACAATCTGCTATCATTCTCTTGAACCAACTACAAGAGAATCTGGAGTCCTTGTTTAGTCTCACTATGAGAAAACCTATCTATGGACTCAACTAAGCCTTTATTAAGTTTACTTTTTATATGTAGACTCAATTAAGCCTTGATGTCAATCCAGTGGCAAATTAGGCCAAAACGACCTCGTTTTGTATCTGTTTTTTTTTTTAAAAAGAAATTCCGTTTCCCGTTTCTTCCGTTAACTTCTAAAAAAAAAAAAAAAATTCATGTTTCGAATGTACAGAATTGTATAGTACAATACACATAAACTCATAACATAATACACATAATCTAACATAATACACATAAACTTTTAACATAATACACATAAACTCTTAACAGAATACACATAAACTCTTAACAGAATACACATAAACTCTTAACATAATACACATAAAATCTTAACATAAAAAACGACGTCATTTTGGGCAGGGCGCACGGTGCACGATATAACGACTGCAATCCAGTTGGGAACAATATGGATTATATCTCTCTATTCCACTCTTCAACAATAGCTAAGATGTGACCCCATATACAATATTTAATACTCCGTAACTGATAAGGAATTAGGACACGTTAGTCATGTACAAAACATTCAGTTGACTCAATAAAATAGGGGAAGTAGCTCAACAATAGTCAAGTATAACAACTCAAAAGTACCTCCTATCTAGTAACTAAACTTTAACAAATTGCAAATAGACATTCTGACATCCATTTTTTATAACATGCCAACAACCATACATGTTCATCAAGTAAATAGCAAACAGTAGTTCAAAAAATATATTCTGCCAGATTTGCATTTTTAGAAGCTAAATAGCAGGAAAATTCTCCAGTTTGAAGGAAAATTGGAAATCAGAGTTTTCTATTCAAATAAACTATTCTCTAAATTATAAATAATCTGGAAAACATTGTTTTCCAATTTAACAAGACCATTTGGAAAATACTAAAAAGATGTTTTCCATTTCTAAATACACAAGTCTTGACTTATTTTCACCTACCACATTCCACCACTACGGCACTACCTACATACTAACCCCCACCATGACTACCAATCCCCAACCTACCCAACCCACACAACCACTTACTTTCACCCAGCACTACCTACATACCTACTTTACACACTTAATTAACCCCACCCGGCCACCCTCCACTTCCTACCTACTCCCTACTACCACCATTACAACCATGTCTTACTTCCACCCACTACTACTTACGTACTCACGCCCCAACCCACCTACCCCTACCACTACCACTATTACAACCACTGCTTACTTCCAATCACGAGCCACCTATCGAACACCCACCACCACAAGCACTACTTATCCCACACCCAACCACCTACACCACCACTGCCACTTGTGCTCAATACCATTGTCACTTACAACTCAAATTGGAATTTGATATAAAGGATGCAATTGAATTTCAAAAAACCTTATATCTTATAAATTGGAAAGTAGTAGAATATGAACATATTTTTTAGTTTTCCAATGAAAAATTAAAACTTCAAAAATTGGAGATGCGTAATGGAAAACATTCTACAACTAAACAGGCCCTTAACAACCTGATTATGAAATCTAATAATTTCAGAAAATCCAATATATGAATTTTTTATTGTCTCCTGGTATCGAATTACCTTAGTCAAAATCATTTAATATCTAGTTTGAGATGTTTGTATTCAACAAATATAGATTATAGGAGCAATTTCATGTATTAGTATTAGTATTAGTTTTACTTGCCTTGTATAGTTGTATTACAAAAATGTGGTGCTGCTAGCACCATATTTCACAGTCATAAAACTCATCGTCTCATCCTGCTTTCAAATTATCCATCAATTTTACTTACTCACAAATCCATCCAAAAGTTTGCATTGAAAGTACATATTTAATGATACAAACACACACACGCACACACACACACACACACACACACACACACATATATATAAAATCTAATTCATCTAAACAATACATATTCTTTCCTTGCTGCAAGAGTTTCTTCTACTTATAGTTCTTATCAAAGTGATTATATTCAACCAAAACCACCAAAGCAAAAGAATTACCCATATATATTCAGTGGTATATTCTAAAAAATATGTAAAATCTTTCTCATGCAAATTAATGATTAATTTGGCCACCATACTGATTCTACATGGTGTGACCATTTTGCTTACAGCAAGGATGTTTATAGTTAGTGAGTTGCAATTACTGAATTGCCTAGAGTAGTAAATAAGAGTTGCAACAACTGACCTTGCACCAACATATACATGACTGGATTGACTGCAGAGGAGCTTTGCACTGACCTTTGTATAGAAACTTACATGGAACTCCTTTCTACAGCCTTTGCAGCAGCTTATGAAGATACTTGTGCAAGTCCATAGTCAGAGATTCTAGTAGACTTTGCTAGAATGTCACTCAAGATTAACTTCTAAAATGTTTGTTAAAAAAGGTTTTAAGATTGAGTTAAAGTGGATTTGTGAAAACTTGGTGTATGTATTTCATGAAAGCAAATTTGGTGCTTTAATAATGTTAACGACTAAGAGGTATTGAATAAAGTTCTCTTCCCATCTTTTTCTGTTGATGACTCAACTAATTTCGACTGGAGCCCCTATATAGAAGAGAGAGAATCCAAAAAAGAATAAAAAAAAAAAACAAACCAAACACCAGGTACCCAGCCGTTTACCATCAAAATCAATCAACAATCTCAAATATCCTATGCGACCCCAATCAAAAGGAAGCAAAAAATTCATTCAGTTAAAGGGCCAAGCAATAGCAGGCAAAAGAAAATAAAAAATAATAAAATAATAAAAAAAATTAAAAACCAATACCATCTTTCTTTTACAGCTCCTTCCACCCCAATATACATATGTGTGTGTGTATACACAGAGAAACACATGCATATGCACACACACAAACAATAAAACGAAATCACACAAAAATAAAAAGTCATATTTGCAGAGGTTAAAGACAAATTCTCATTTTAATGATATCACAAAAAGGAGTTAAACTTTAAGCAAAGAAAAGTAAAGCTCTAATTGTCCTCCCTTCTAAAAAGCTCAAATACTGCTACTAAAATACAAGCCACATGCAAAAGTTTCTGCTGCTTCCCCTCAAATAGGTATTGAAATTAAGCTGCACACCTAAAGGAACAGACCACAATGAGTTTATTCCACTTTTGGTCCCTCGACTATAGTGGCATTTACATTTTTAGTACTCAACTTTGATTTGTTCCACTTTTAGCCCTTGACTTTTAAATAGGTTCCACTTTTGGTCCAAAATTTCCTTAAATGCAATAGAGTGAGATTTGGTAAAACTTACACAAAATGACATTTTAGTTATTTAGGACTAAAAGTGGAATATTTTTAAAAGTCAAGGACTAAAAGTGGAATAAATTGAAGTCTAGGACAAAGTGACCATAATGATTCAGCCAAATCCTACAACATGAAAAAATAAGCATTCCAAAGAAACAAAGGGTCATAGAATATGAAAACCAATCTAGTATATACATCGTTTTAAAATAATGAGATATAGAACCATGTATGGAACCAGAACTATGGTTGCTATCAATTGTTTGAAAAATCTAATTACAGCTGACAGACAACTGAAAAACGCTCATGATTTAAGTACATTAACTTATTGTATGACCTAATTAAAGACCTTGAAACTCTGAACACACCTAGATGTTCCTTGAGGCAGGGGTATTGCACTCCTATTTGCCTGATTTTGCGGTGCATTCAAAAGATTTGGAGCCTGACTACCTTGTTGGGGCTGTTGAACTTGTTGTTGGTACTGCTGTTGGGATATAGGGGATCCTTTCATTGTGGCTTTGAGGGCTTGATTCACAACATTTGGTCCTAGACCAATCTGAGTCTTCTCCACCTGCGGTGCGAAATTAGCATTCCGATTTTGGAAAAATCTGTTTGAGTAGCCAAAGTTGTGGGATGCCACCTGCTGAATTTTCTGAAGAACTTCTTCTACAGGAGGTGGAGGTCCAGGGACCCTTGTGTGCCTATATCGGCAGTCGGGACCATTTGGACAAAATCCCAATTTGTACCTGCATTTAAGAACCAACAATCAGAAAATACCACTGTAAATGAGGGAATCATAATCCCATGTCAAAAGTCTGTAGCATAAAAAATCTCTTCCACGCATAAGCCAGTCACCAAATTGAAATACTCAGTATTGCATAATCCCATGTCACTGTTATGAACACAAGCTGAATTGCTAAAATAGGCTGAAGAGCAGTGACTTCAACTGTGCCATTTTAATTAGTTGAACGCTGTCGTTTTGATAATTGAAGCCCCACGACGTCGTTTTGATAATTGAAGCCCCACGACGTCGTTTTGACAACCCAGCTGGCTGTTGTTTATTCCCCCAGCTGCTGCTGACGTCAAGTACTGAAGAGGTGAAGCTGGCATTTCGACCACGAAGATAGCTCAATTCTGTTATTGTCAATTGTCATTTCCTTTAATTTTCAGACAATGTTGGGGATTTCAGATTATGCTTTATGAACAAAGAATCCTTTTTTCTGTTTTCTCCCAAACACTCTGAATTTCCCCCAACTTTCTGCAATTTTCAATTCCTTGTTCGAGGAATTTATCTGAAGTTCCCAGGACATTACAGCCACAAACAAGAAATTTGCTAGCATCCAAGAACCAGACCGTGTGACAAGACCATCAAGAAAGTTACTACCAAAATCAATTCAAGAAACTTTATTATCAAAACAATTGACAAAGAACATTAAAGGGAAAAGTTTTAAAATATACTTCCAAATTACATGCAGAGTAAAATAAATTGCGTAGTGAACATTCCCTCGCATCTCCCGTGGATGGCAATCGATTGAAAAAATATGTATATATATACGTAGTTGAATATAGCAGAGAATAACAGATGGATTTTACACATAAATGAAAAAACGGAATCTCACATGTTGCATTCCTTGATGTCCTCATTGGAATGCTTATAAACGCAGTCCTGCTCGCGGCACTCGCCGTAGAGCCTGAAGAAGCGGCAAACGGGCATGCGGGACTTGTCGTACTGGTGTAGGAACCCGCAGGCATCTCCCTTCATACAAAGACCCCGCAGCCAGTGACGGCACACTGTCTGGCGGAAGCTCCGCCGGTTGCCGCCCATTCCGACGTCATGAGCGGCGTCTGCGGGGGCTGAGGCGACAGTTGATAGGTTATTGGCGCTCGGGACGGCGGCGGCGGCACCATTCCCGTCGGATGATTGGATACCGGGTACGGATGCAGTAGGGTGAGTGGGCCCCGAATCTAAACCGCCCTCGAAGTCGAAGCTCAGACCTCCATCTCCGTCATCCATTATACTCCGTATATTTGTATAGTGTGTGTTGTGAGAAATCTGTGTTTCAGCTTTTCCAGAGGGCGTGGCGGCCGAGACGGGAAATTTGCAGTTTGTACGGATTTTGCACCGAATGCGGAAGACGAAGGTTGAATTGCTATTTGATCGTTGAAGTTTTGGAAGACGTCTAATACATCAAATTTTCGTTTTAAGCCCCGTAACAATTGTGATATTATTTTATTTTTTTATTTTTTTATTTTTTTATTTTTTATTTTTTATTTAAATACTTTTAGGTTACGTTTGGTTGGAGATTTTTGTGTATTCTAGTATGAATTTTGATACTCATTATCATATTTATATACCAATTTTTGTAATTTTTGTTATCCTATTATTGAATTCAATTTTATTTTATTTTTACAAAATTGATTATCCTTTTAATTTTTTACTTTTGAACAATTGAATCAAAAATAAGAGAGAAAATAAATAAATAATAAAATAAAAAGATCATTGTCTAGGCATTAAATATAGAATATATATATATATATATGGTTCCCGTGCGGTTGGCTACCTCAGGTGCGATTGTGCGGTTAAATCTGAGTCATTGCTCTTGCCTAAATCAACGTCAAGAATTAACAATGATTAAAAAAATGCGTGGTGGAAATTTGGTCTTTTTGCATCTAAGTCAAATTTAAGGTGTGTGATTTTTCTTCTTAAGGTGCGTGAGTTTTGTGCTTAAGGTGAGTGGTTTTTGTACTGTGTGGCTTAAGGGGTGCGTCAGGTGTTGAAAACTTAAGTGCGTCGATCTAAAACTTTCGGTGCGTGATTTTCCTTCTTAAGGTGTGTGGTTTGTGTGCTTAACGTGCGTCAGTTATTGAAACTTAAGGTGCGTGATTTTCCTTCTTAAGATGCGTTGATTTCCTTCTTAAAGTGCGTGATTTGTATGCTTAAGATGCGTTAGTTGTTGAAACTTAAGATGCATCATTTTAAAACTTTAGGTGTGTGGTTTGTGTTATTAAGGTGCTTTGTTTGTGTGCTTAAGGTGCACAATTTTAAAACTTTAAGTGCGTGGTTTATATACTTAAGGTACGTCATTTGAATGCTTAAAGTCTTTTTGTGTTAACCGCACAGGAAGATACATTTGCACCTGATCCACTTCATATATATATATATATATATATATATATATATATATATATATATATATAGAATCGCACTCAGGTGCGAATGCTTCGCCCAGGCGCGAAATAGGAATGAATTCTGTTCGTCCACGTGTCCAGATCTAATGGATAAGAAACACTGATTTTTAAAAAAAACGCGATGACATTTTCGTAAATAAGTGAACATCGAAGTGCAAGTAAAATATATTACAAATGCATGTAAAATGTATTATAGGTGCAAGTAAAAATTTACACTGAGCATCAATACTTAGTTGCACCTATAGTTCTAAGTAGTTGCACCTATAGGTCTAAGTAGTTGCACATATAGTTATAAGTAGTTGCACCTAGGTGTATGAATGTTTGCGAGTGGTTTTCAGGGTATTACTACCCACTGAACTCAAATCAATGAATGTTAACAAGGCAAAATTACATGCACTTATAGGTGAAAGTAGGTGCACCTATAGTTATAAGTAGTTGCACCTATAGTTATAAATAGTTGCACATATAGTTATAAGCACACCCAGGTGCATGAATGTTTGCGAAAAGTGAATGCTAACAAGGCAAAATTACATGCACTTATAGGTGAAAGTAGGTGCACCTATAGTTATAAGTAGTTGCACCTATAGTTATAAATAGTTGCACATATAGTTATAAGCACACCCAGGTGCATGAATGTTTGCGGAAAGTGAATGCTAACAAGGCAAAATTACATGCACTTATAGGTAAAAGTAGGTGCACTTGTAAGTGATTTTACTTGCACTTCGATGTTCAATTATTTACGAAAATGCCACCGCGTTTTTTTTAAGTTATTAGATCTGGACACGTGTCGCGCGCTGATTCGTTCGCATTTCCCTCCTTGAGCACTTATTCGCACCTGAGTGCATCCCTATATATATATATATATATATATATATATATATATATATATATATATATATATATATATATATATATATATATTATTTTATTTTATTATTATTATTTTTTGAATCCCATGAGGTCATAGTAGTTAGATGAGACCATGAGACTCGATCCTGAGCGTCCATTTCTATTTTTCAACGGTTGTGAATTATTGTTGGTTTTTATTGTAAATGACTACTATGGAATATACTTGTGGGTAAGGCTGTAATTTAACTTCTGTATTTATTTTCTTTCCGTTTTAAATTTGATACGACATTTTTGTTTTATGAGTGTGTTTTAATTGGAGTTACGCCATTCTCCTCGGAAGAAGCGCAGAAGAAAAGTCGACAGCAGCCTATCTCTAATCTTCCCCGGCGGTCTCCGTTGGTCTGCATTCTCCATGGCTGGCTCCTCCTCCAGGCGGTCAAAGCGCCAAAGGGGTAGTTCGTCGGGTGTTGCTCAAGGTATTCTCTACACCATTGCTTAGTTTTTTTTTTTTTTTTTTTTTTTTTTTTTTGATATAATCACGTTCTTAATATGATTCATTTACAACAACCAGAGGCCAACCAATTATGAACATATTATTTAGATATGTGGAGCAGGAAACACAACAATTTAATACCTCTTCATAAGGCTTCCTGAAGCTTAAAAATAAAATCTCAAAATCCAGCAACTACGGTGCGTATAAGAAAAAGCCAACTGAGCTTTGACGAGGTGCAAAGTAGTGGTCTCTGAAGGAACTTTAAAATAGTTAAAATGAAAAATTGAAGCGTCCCTGACTGGTTGTGTAGCAAGAGTCAAGTTTTCCAACTCCTTCTGATGCTTGTCACGAAGTCCTGAGACAGAGGCGTCAGAGAGTGAACGTCGGAATGAGAAGCTGATGAAGACGCCCTCCCATTCTCCTGCTCCTTTTCCATGAGATGCACCCATCGTCGCCCGCTGGTTTGATCAGATAGAGACATAATTGAAATCGTAAAAACTGCTCCTGATTTGTAGGGTGGAACAGATAAAGTAAAGAAGAATAATTGTATTTGTTTTCCAGGTTATTTTTTTTCATTGTTATAGAAGGGGTTTTGCGGCTTGGGGGAGCTCGGGATGGGTGGTGGTGGTGGTGGTGGTGGGGGGGGGGGGGGGGGGGGATGTTAGCTTAGTAGTGTTCTGGTAGTTAGCATTTGGAATGGGGCTTTGTCTCCCTTTCAAAACATGTTCTTTTTTTTAAAATTCATGTTTGTGTTTGCTGTATGAGGGGAAGGAATTTTTTCAGTTTTTGCCATCCCAAATATTGTTTGCTTAGGACATGATATTTATGCATGCCTTAGGTTGTTGTAATTTATGGTGGTGTGTGCGTCTATGTGCTATGTTGTGTGCAAATTTAGGGATGGGGTTTGTGGTTTTTTTTTATTTTTATTTTTTTAAAAAAACTTGCTAACCAAATTATTATTAGGTGCGTGAATTCATGTTGTTTAGTATTTCTTTTTTTTTAGGTGGTGCAAAGTTTCATTACCAGAAATTTGCACACACCCTACCACACAAATACACACACTAACGCAACATTAAATTATGGCAAACGGCAAACGGCAAACACCAACACTATAACTTCATCATGCTTACGAATCTTATGAATCTTCATGCTTACAATTTGCACACGCCCACCCGCATAAGCGCAACCACCATCGAACTAAATTAAAAAAAAAATAGGGATGGTGCAAAGTTCCATTACCATAAATTCGCACACGCCCTACCACACAAATACACACACTAACGCAACATTAACGTAGGAAAATTTACAAATGTACATAGATGTGTTCTTATGCCCCATTTGCAAGCTCTGTAGGAGTGTAAAATACCGTTCCTTATTTGCAAGTTAAAATATCATAATACAAAGTATATCTAATTATTACCATTGATAGGATGAATAATATTATGGTAAATATGCTATTTAAATTATTACCAAAATTAAACAACATCATATAATTACTCTTTCACCTTTCTTATTCAAATCTGTCATTAATTACTTGATTTTTTACTTTCAATCATATCCATCCATTAAAAATTGATTAATGGATGAGATGAGATCTCATGATGATCTCATAAATCAAGAGGATCTCATGAGAATCGAAACCTATATATATATATATATATATATATATATATATATATATATATATATATATATATATATATATACTTTGTTATTCCTGAAAATAATAAAATAAAATAAAATTCTACCTACTGCATGTTTTCACGTGAGAATTATTTTCTTCACTTTGCATATGAGTTTCGGGCGGTCACCATTTCACCGTTTTCTCCGATGACCGCTATTGGGCGTCGGAGAGATGAGAACGGCGATCATGATGACATCATTGCCATAAGGCTCGTCGGCGGCGTTGGGTTTTCCGGCTAGACACAGGAGGTCGTAGCTTAGGTTGGCGGCGGATGATGTCGCTAAAGACTGCGGCTATGTTTGGCGGAGGCGGAGGTGTGACGGAGAGATCAGAAGACGTTGGAGGGGTGGTTGCGAGCGGTAATTTTCCTTCTTCGTAAGATCCGACCAGTTTTGCTTTCTTCCTCTCCATTCGGCGACGCTTCTGTCTCTCTCTTTCGGCGCTTCTGGGTGATGTTGTCGCTATCCGTGACTGTACTCCGACGAGGGAGGCAGTGGCTAGGACGATCGTCGTTCACGTCCTGGCGCTGCGACGCAGATCGGAGAACATATAGATCCCCTCTGTTCCTAATGGCATTAAGGTCTCCATCCCCTCTGTTTTCGGTTAAGGGGGGATTAGGCTCGAGATGGCAGTGCTTTGACCGAAGGCTCTTGGTTCCGATGGTTGGCTGGCTGACGACGCTAAAATTATCGACTATGAGGAGACACGGTTGTGTCATTAAAGTTGGCATGCAGCATTTTGGCAATAAAGTAATGGCCATTTGGGTATTGCAGTCGAAAGGCCGCTGGTTTTGTGTCAATTAAGGTATGTTTTTTATTTTCCCTTTTATTTGTTTCCATTTAGTTTTCATATTGATAATTATAGTCAGTATGCTACTTTTATTATCGTTGTATTGGTATCACATTACATGGTCCGTTATTGTTTTTGCAGGATTCGCAGCTGAGTGAATGAGAGACATGAA